GAAGGGGGGGGGGGTAAAGGTCGCGGGCCATGTTGGCGCGCAGCGGCGGCGGCGGCGTTTTTCGCTCTGCTCTCGGAAAGGCCGCGCCAGGCCATAAAGGTGTCGGTTCGGCCCTTTTGCCCGTCACTGAACGCACCGCCGCCACCGGCAGCGCAGGGGCTCTCGGCGGCGGCGGCGCCGTTAGGACAAAAAGTCATTCCAGGCGGAGATGGAGTTGGGGCGGGGGGGAACAAGAGCAGCGCACACGGCCCCGCACGAGACAATGGCGAGGGGGCCCTCACTGTTGTTGATCACTGAACACAATTAAATTTCAGCTGCTTTCGTTTTCGGTCATTTTCAGTCACTTTCATTTTTGCCCATTTTCAATCATGTTTCAGTCACTTTTAACCGAGTTGAAGTCATTTTCAATCAATTTCAGTCACGTTTTGTCCATTTTCGGTCATTTGTTAACTTTTAATCACTTATTCACTGTACGCGGCACGGAAGATCGAAGTGAGGGACCCTCGGACAATGGTCATGAAAATGTCTCTCAGGTCGGGAAATGGAAACGGTAGAAATTGGCCGCGCTGGCGGGTCCTCTTGCTGACACTGTCTGTGGTCTCCAGGGTTCCCCTCCGCCGGTGGCCCGCTCGCCCGGCCCTTGGCCCGGCCCTGGATGCTTGTTAGAGTCCCTCACTGATGTCTGATTCGCTTTTTTGCTCTCTTGTTTGCAGCAGAGACGGCAGCCGAGCTGAGCTGGATGATGACGCTGGCCGTGGTGTCGCTGCTGTCGGCGGCCATCGGCGCGGCCGTCATGGTCACCGTGCTGCACTGCAGGTCGCGGCTGGCGGGGTTTGGTTCCGCAGGTGAGTCGCGTGTTCGCATGCGAGGCGATCTTGTTGTGTTATCGTGTTGTTTTTGCCTTTGCTAACGGCGTCTCTCTGCCCCTCCAGGACTGTGCACCCTGTGCGTGGGGCGCTCGCACGCGGGACGAGTGTCGGCGCCGACCAGCCCGCTGGCCGGCGGGGGTGTGGTTGTCGGCGGCGAGGACAAGGAGGCCGGGGTGGGCCCCACGCCACTGAGCCCCCAGGACGTGTCCGGGCCGCTGCTGGCGCTGTGGAGGGGCCGCGGCCGGTCGGGGGTGGGCGCCCAGTGGCCGTGGAGGCGGCGCGAGGCCCCTGCCGGCGGCCCCACCTGCAAGGGCCCCGCCCCGGAGAACCACTACACCTTGGAGGAGCTGGCCTACTCGGGCGGCGCTAGCGACGAGGCGCTGTACGCCGAGCTGGACCGGCCGAGCCTGGGCGGACGCGGCGCCTACCAGTACCAGAACGCGGCGCCCCTCGCGGGCGTGTCGCCGCCCTGCCACTGCGGCCAGGGCCTCCAGGTCGCCGCCCCGGGCAGCCCGCTGGCGCAGCTCGCCGCGCCCGACACGCCGTCGGCGCCCTCGTCGGCGTACTACTCGGACCTGTCGGCGCCCGACCGCACCTACGAGGCCGTGGGCGTGGGCATGCCCTGCCTCAGCCTGCAGGTCAACCCGCACTGGGAGGCGGCGGCCGCGGCCGCGGAGGCTGCGCGCCGGCGGCAGCTGGCGCACCAGCACCTGCAGCGCCAGTTCCAGCAGCTGCAGCACATCCAGATGCCGGCGCAGCAGCTGCAGCAGCTGCAGCAGCTCGCGCCCAACGACAGCGCCGTGCCCTCAGACTACGTCTGACGGTCCGCCCCCCGGCGCCAGCAGCAGCGGAGGGGGCAGAGGGGGTCGCGGGCTGACGGACGCCAGAGACAATGTCGCGGGCCGTCGCCGGACGCCCCGGAGGCCTCGGAGGGACGCTGACTGACAAGGATGGACGCCCCGATCAGCTCCGAGTCGAGTGCTGGTCGGACGAACCCGGGCTCCGGGCCTGGGAATATTTGTGATATGTAAACGAGTGGGATGGACTCCCTCTCGCCTGCTTGTTAGAAAAGGACTGCAACGCCCCGCCACGCCCCGCCACGCCCCGCCCTGACTCACAATTAAAGTGCAGCCCTGCCAGGGGACTCGCGGGGACAGACAAGGGCAGCGCCTGTGCCTGGCCGAAGGAACAATTGTGCTTGTGCATTCCCTCGAGCGGCCCGGCCGGCTGCGCTGCGCTGCGCCTGACCACGACCGTGTTGTGTTGGAGAGGGACGAGGAACGCAATCAAGGGCCGTGGCTGCGCTGCAAGTGATGGGTGCATGCCCCGTCTCTCTCTCTCTCTCTTTTTCTCTCTCTCCCTCGCTTACTCTCTCACTCCCTCTGCCTCTCCCAGCGCAGCCGGAGAGAGGGAGAGGGAGTGACCGGCCGCAAGCGCATTGTTTCAAACGTTTCAAACGCGGCCGCAGCCGTGTGCACGCCTTGCTGTTGAGCGCAGCGCCGTGTCGGGGCGACTTGTGCATTTAAATGGTGTGTGTGTGTGCGGTTCAGTTTTCAATTTCGGACATGTCGCCGTTTGTTTACTCATTGGTCAAGCTATAAATTACTTTCTCTGTTCAGTATTAATAGTTAGAACGCAGTAGGTGTCTGACATCTGAAACATTCCATTGTAGGGAATTAAAATATGTTTATTGCACATCTTTAACCGGCTGTTAAGACTGTTTCTTTACCAATTTTGGCTTCATTGTAATCTGTATAACATTCTCATCATGCGCCATACTAAATATTGAAATTTGTCACACCTTTTCATTATAACATGCCCTGCCTAAGTCATTCTAATCCCTTTGTGAAGAATATGAACATAAATATAAGTAGTCTGAAATATTTGTATATAATGTATGTTGTTGTCTATGTAGTATCTACATAGCTTGTGTAAATGTACCATGTTAAATTTGTGTACAGTTTGAAAAAGAGATCTAGATATATTATAGATGTTTACGTCCTATGGACGGCTTGATTTACTGTTTTGTCCGTTTTGTTGTTGTTTTTTTATATGTGATTCAAGCCATGGGTACAGGAAGTTCCAAGAAGAAGAAGAAAGAAAATATATGTAACTTGACATATTTACATTTGACATTTGACTTGCTGTACTATTGGTTTGAATTAAAATTGGCTGTGATGTATTAAAAAATATAATT